CGCTGGAAAGAAGAAAAATAAAACAGCAAATTAGAAATTATATTGACACAGGATTTAAAAATAAAATCTATTTAATTTTATTTATTAATTATTATTATTACTTTTTAAACATTTGTACAGATAAAAAGGGAGTAAAAGGGGAGAAGTGAGTAAGCAAGCTGCCAGGTCTGGGACTTGAACAACAGTCAGCCATATGGAAGTCCAGTGCCTTAACCATTATGCCACCAGCTGGCCCTGACACAAGATATATATTTTTAAAATGTTATTTATGTATTTATTTATTTTAATTTAACCAGAGACAGAGAGAGAGAGAGAGAGAGAAAGTGGAAAGTAAGCCACCAGGCCTGGGACTCAAACTGGTCAGACATATAGGAGTGTCCATGCCACACGCTGGTCCCATGTTTCTTTTTTTGTGGGGGGCACGGGGGAGAGTTTTGTTTTTTTTTTTTGCTATAGGGCACGTGCACTCACCATAAAAACAGAGATAGGCAGAGAGACAGCGAGAAATCATTCCCCAGGGGAGATGGCCACACCGCAATCCCTTCTCCTCCATTCTCCTCTCCAGATATTGGGCTCGCATGCATATGCGCCTGGCATGAGTTTTAAGCCACTGGGTCTGGGACTCGAACTGTGGTAACTACATGGGAGTCCAGCGACATAGCCATTATGCCAACTGCTGGTTCCCTAGGCATCTATTTTTCAAGTCCAGAAGAAAGGGGCTTCTTTTTGCTATTCTCATCAAAAGAGGGAGAGAGAGAGAGAGAGAGAGAGAGAGAGAGCACGAGCGAGCCACCAGGCCCATTAATTGAACAATGGTCCCCCCCCCATGTGGGAGTCCAGTGCCCTTAAACACAATTCTACTTGCCAGCCCCACAAGATATGTTTTAATGGCCATTATACAAATTTACACTTTTTTTTTTAAAAGAGAGATTTTTGCTATAGGACATGTGTACCTGCCAGAGAGACATAAAGCGAGAAATCACCCCCCAGGGGATGGCCATGCCATGATCCCTTTTCCTCCATTCTCCTCTTGGGATTTTGGGCATGCACGTATGCATATACGCCTGGTATGAGTTTTAAGCTGCCAGGTCTGGGACTCGAACCACGATTGACTATGTTGGAGCCCAGTGACATAACCATTATGCCATCTAATGGTCCCCAAATTTACACAATGTTAAGAAGATGACTTTTAGCTTTTGAAAAATAATTCTGGGGGACTCGCAGTTAGTGTAATGGCTATGTCACTGGACTCCCACATAGTTGACTGTGGTTCAAGTCCCAGACCCGGTGGCTTAAACTCACACCGGGCGCGCGTGCATGCGTGCCCAAGATCCCGAGAGGAGAATGGAGGAGAAGGGATTATGGCGTGGTCATCCCCCCTGGGGGGTGATTTCTCGCTTTCTGTCTCTATGTCTCTCTCTGTCTGTCTGGCGAACACACGCGCCCTATAGCAAAAACCTCTCAAAAAAAAAATTCTGGATTTTTCATGGGTTTTGGACACTCATATCAATTGTCATAAACATAATTTCAGATTTGAGGCCTCAAGGTTGACTAGAATCAGTTGTCCTCAAATTCCTTGGTCTCAGAAGTCCTTTGTAGTCTGAAAAATTATTAAGAACACCAAAGAGCTTTTCACGTAGTTATAACTACTGCTATTTATCATGTTATATTACACATATATTTCTTCATACACATTTACTGAGGGCTCCAACTATGTGTTTCTCATGGTCCTGGCCTAGCTATGAGCAAACCTTGATAGGATAATGGGAAAAACACATAAACCAGCAAATGAAATTCCAAAAGCCAAAATATCGTGGTGTTTTGCACAATCTTGTGATAAATAGCAACAACATACTTGGATAAATTCCATTTCTTCTTGAGACACCAGTTTCCTTCTGTATTTCTGAGGTAAAGTTTTTATTATTTCTGCCGTGTCTGGTGGACCCTGATACATCAGCAAATCTGGTGATTTACTTCCCTTAGAATGCTGTGAAACTGCAGAAGAATGGGATGGCAGCCCTGCTGACCTCAAAGCTTCTGATACTGAAATTGAGAAGAAAAACAAAAAAGGAAAAGAAAACAAATGTTATTAGACAAATTCTTCCAGTGTCCTTTTCTTATTGAAGGATTTTTGCTAGAGGGTGTGTGCGCTTGCTGGAGAAAGAGAGAGAAATAAAGCATGCTTCAATCTCTTCTCCACTCCTCTCAGGATTTTGGGCATGCATATACATCTGTCTGGGGTGTTTCAAGCCACAGGGTTTGGGATTTGAATCACAGTCGGTCACATGAAAGTACAGTGCCTTGGCCACTACGCCACCTGCTAGCCCCTCTTCAGGTGTCTTAAAACATTGAGTTATCTACTATTGAATAATCAAGTCATTCTGGAAACTAAATAATTCTTCAAAGAATTCTTTAAGTATTCTAAGAGGTAAATACTGTAGATATAACATTAGGCTATACATAATTTCATACAGCTCTTTTGAAAACAAAGAGAGAGTTTTAATAAGCCAATCACTAAAATAAACAAATTTGCCAAACAGTGAAATTTCTAGTTAAAGGAGTTTAATTCATTATGGGTAAACTACCTCCCTTGAATTTTTTGTCATATAAGCCCTGACAGGCCAACACATGGTTGAGTGTAGGTTATATCTTATGATGGGCGTTAAGAAAGTTGGTAAATGTAAATAAGAATGGTTTGCTCAGTACCTTTGTACTTATTCATCTTAATTCTTGAGTAGCTTTAATTTTAGGTTTTTGCCAAAGGGCACATGTGCTTGCCAGAGACAGACAGACAGACAGAAAGAGACAAAGAGAGGGAAAGTGAAGATCACCCCTGACACACACACACCCACAGAGAATGGTCACACTGCAATCCCTTCTCCAGTCTCCTCCTGGGATTTTGGGCTTGTGTGCACATGCACCTGGAATGTTTTTTAAGCCACTAGGTCCAGGACTTGAATTGCAGCCAGCCATGTGGCAATCTAGTGCCTTAACCACCACCTGCTGGCCCCAATACTTGAATATTTTTTTTAAAAAGAATTCTTTACTTAATTCCATTTGTTATTATTATTATTTTCAAGGTCACACACCACAGGCCTTTTATTTGCTTGCATCAGAAATCAGGAGGGAGGATTACAATGGATCTGGGTCTCATGGAAAGACTGGTTTGAGCTTCAAAGGTTTGGTACTCCAGACTGTGGGTGCTGCCAGCATCTGGTGATGCAGAGACCAGGGGTAGCCCAGCTCTCCTGTGGCTCCTTGGAACCGTTGGGAGCTGGGTGTTCCTCAGTTGCCCTAGGAGATGAAGCACATATCACTGTAGTGTCTGTCCCCATTTGGGGGTTCAGAAGAAAATGGGTTGTTACTGCTCACGCGGGCAGTCGGGTAGAGAGCATGGTTACCCATGTGGGAGTCCAGCACCTCAACCACCATGCTATCGGCATGCCCCACTTTTTGACATTTCTTAGACAGGTTCTGTGTGGCAAACTGGAAGCAGCAGCTCAGGGGTGGGCTGCCCTCTGCTGCGGTCTGAACTCCTGCCCCAAGTTCAACACCATGTGAAGACCGTTCTTATTTTTTAATTTGACTCGACTACCATTTTGAGTCTGGGACCCAGCGGCTTCAAACTCATTCCAGGCGCATGTGCATGCGTGCTCAAGATCCCAAGTGGAGAATGGAGGAGAAAGGACTGCAGCGTGGCCACCCTCCAGGGGGTAATTTCTCATTTTCTGTCTCTGGCAAGCACACCCTATAGCAAAAATCTCTCTCACTAAAAAAAAAAAAAAGGTGAGGTAATAGCAAGTTAGTTTGTACTTGCATGCTACCTAAGGTACCGTTTCTATCTAAGCTGCAATGATTTACCTGATTTTTAAAAAAGAAATACTGCTATAGTAAAACATTCATGTATAAATATGCACGTATACACTTTCTTTCTTTTTCATTGTTTTTAGATTTTTGCCATAGGGCATGCAGGCTTGCAGCAAGAGAAGGAAAGTGAAAAATCATACCCCTTTCCCACAAGCATGTTTTTCAAGTTACTGGGTCTGTGTCTTGAACTATGTAGTAAGCCATGTGGGATCCAGCGTCTTAACCATCATAATATTTGCGGCCCCCATGTGCACATTTTTTAAAAAGAATTATTTTATTTTATTTTATTTTATTTTATTTTATTTTATTTTATTTTATTTTATTTTATTTTATTTTATTTTATTTTATTTTATTTTATTTTATTTTATTTTATTTTATTTTATTTTATTTTATTTTATTTTATTTTATTTTATTTTATTTTATTTTATTTTATTTTATTTTATTTTATTTTATTTTATTTTATTTTATTTTATTTTATTTATTCATTCATTTATTTTAATTTGACCAGAGAAAGATAGACACGCATAGAGAAGGAAAGCAAAAAAGCAAGGCACCAGGTCTCAGACTTGAACCGTGGTCAGCTTTGTGGGAGTGTCCAGTGCCTTAAACACCACACTACCTGCTGGCCCCCATGTGTACATTTTTCAAAAGTCTAAATAAAGTACAATTTACCATTGGGTTTAGGATTATCTCTTCTGTCAGGAAACCTTATTAATGGTGTATGTGGCTTCACTACCTAAAGGAAAAACAAGAAGAAAAAAAAAAGGGTCTCATTAACTGGAAAAGAGAAAGAATCTATTAAACCTCATAAACTTTTGTTAAAATAACTTACAACTTGGGACCAGCAGTTAGCGTAATGGCTACGTTGCTGGACTCACATGTAGTCAACTGTGGTTTGAATCCCAGACCCAGTGGCTTAAACTCATGCCGGGCACGTGTGCATGCGTGCCCAAGATCCCAAGAGGAGAATGGAGATGGAATTGCAGAGTGGCCATCGCCCCTGGGGGTGATTTCTCGCTTTCTGTCTCTGTCTTTCTGATGAGCGCACACGCCGTATAGCAAAATCCTCTCCAAAACAAAACAAAATAAAACAACAACAAAACACTATTTGACAGCAATTTTTTTTTTTTTTTAAGTTTTGTTTGGTTTGGTTTTGAGAGGTTTTTGCCTTGGGGTGCATGTGCTTGCTAGTGAGAAAGACAGAGACAGTGAGAGGGAAAGTGAAAAATCAGTCCCCAGAGGTGTTACCTATATAATCCCTTCTCCTCTACTCTCCTCCAGGATCCTGGGCATGTACGTATGCCAGCCTGTCAAGATTTTTCAAGCCACCAGGTCCAGGACTTGAACTGCAGTCAGCCATGTGGGAGCCCAGCAACATAACCACTACATAATCTGCTGGCCCAACAGCAACTTTAAATTGTACTCATCTCTAACCAGGCAAACCAGACTATGGATTAGTAATTTACCTTCTACCCAAAACTTTGTACTTGATACATCACAGGGCATTTTACTATACTATCAACTGACCTCCAAACAATCCAACGAAGGTGATACAATTTTTTTTGTTTTTGTTATAAGGCACATGTGCTCTCCAGAAAGAGAGCGAGAGAGACAAACAGACAGAAAATGAAAAATCACCCTCCAGGGGGGATGGCCACACCGCAATCCCTTCTCCTCCATTCTCCTATCAGGATCTTGGGCATGCAAGCATACACACCTGTAATGAGTTTAAGCCACTGGATCTGGGACTCGAACTGCAGTCGACTACATGAGTCCAGCGACCCTGCTAGTCCCGGGGCACATGAACATTTTTCAAGCCACCCGGCACGTTTTTCAAGCCACCAGGGCAGAGGGATTCAGACTTTGGTCAGCCACAAGGGATCAAGGTCCCTTAACCATTAGGGTACATAATAGACACAAGAAGAATATTAACATTTCATCCTTAAAATTCCAAGTAATGTTTTAGAGGACTTCAAATTAACCCATCAGTATAAAATCTGGATAAGCAATGCTAAAAATCTAATGAACAGAGTACTATTTCAGATCAAGTAATTTGTAAATTCTTATGTAACTCTAAAACGTGCTCTTATTGGCAATATATTTATATATATATATGTAATACATATTATGTATTATATGGGTACAGAAACAAAAATAAATAGGCTTGTTGTGACTGGCCTGAAAACTTTCAAATATAATTCTGCTGCCATGAGAAAATGATGGAATATAGTTCTCTACCTCAGCATAAGAGCATGGTCAAGTCTTCCACATTAAAAAACAAAAACTAAAAGATCTTTCTCCCTCTCATAACAGTTTCTTCCCTTTCACAGCTACACTTCTTAAAAAAAAATGTCCTATTTTCCTACTGTCACAACCCTAGCATTTAAAAATGCTACACAGCTTTCAGAATAAAGTTCAAAGTCTTATTTGGTATTTACAAGGTCCAAGATGATCTGTCCTCCTCTTACATCTCCAGCCTCATTCTCCACTACTGTCTTAAGTATCTGTTACTCCAGGTATTCTCGAGTACTTTTTCATTCCCCTAATTTATCGTGTTACTTCCATCCTCATTCCATATAGAACGTAAGTGTTTTGCCAGGAAACCTCTCTTCCATCCCACATTTCTCCTTCATCTCACTACTTATCCTTTCACTTATTTATTTATTTTTTTTAGTTTGTTACGGGGTGCCTGTGCTCACCAGAGACACACACAGACAAGGAAAATAAAGAAAGCATTACCCCAGACCCCCTAGAGGGAACAGTCACACCGCAATTCCTTCTACATCTCTCCTGGCTTTGGGGATCTGGGACACATTTTCACGCATGCCTGGTGTGGCTCTTAAGCCACCAAGTCCAGGACTACAACCACACAGTCATTCACGACAGCTGCCTTAACCACCAGGCCACAGAGCTAGCCCAAATTTTGGCCATTCTTTTATCTTGTTCTATTTTTTACTCTAGGATACTTTCTGGAGAGAGAGAATGAAAAAGGGAAAGTGAGAAATCACATCCCAGGGGGATGGGCATGCCAAAATCCCTTGTCCTTCATTCTTCTCTCCATATTTTGGGCATGTACACACAAGTTTGAAGCCTCTAGGTCTGGGACTTGAACCGTAGTCAGTCATGCAGGAGTGGTTGAGAAACCACTATGCTACTTGCTGGCCCTGTGAGTCTAGCATCTTAACTACTATGCCATCTGCTGGCCCCGAGTTCTTTGTATAGTTTATATAAATCTTTTATCAGATACATCTTTTGTAAATACTTTCTCCCATTCTATAGCTTGTTTTCTCATACTTCTGACAGTGTCTTTTGTAGAGCAGATGTTTTTAATTTTAATGAAGTCTGGCTTATTATTTCTTTTATGGATCAATCCTTTGGAATTGTATCTAAAAACCCATAACGGGCCAGTAGGTAGTGTAGCGATTAAGGTGCTAGACTCCTTCCCACATGGTCAATCATAAGGACCCGGTGCTTTCATGTGGGTACGTGTGCATGCATGCCTAAAATCTCAGGAGAATGGAGAAGTGACTGAGGCTGGCCAATCTCCCTAGGGGGTGATTTCTAATTTTCCCTTTTACTGTCTGTCTCTCTTCAGAAAATACATGTGCTCTATGACACACAGAAAATAAACCTAAAATTTTTTTATAATTATTTTATTTAACTTTATTTATTTATTTATTTATTTTAATTTGACCAGAGAGAGACAGAGTGAAAGAGAGGGAAAATGAGAAAGCAAACCACCAGGTCCAAGAGTCGAACCATGGTCCACCATGTGGGAGTCCAGCACCCAAACCACCATGCCACCTGCTGGCCCCTAAAAAATTTTTAAAAGATTTATTTATTTATTTATGTTAATTTATTTTAATTTGATCAGAGAGAGAGAAGGAAAGTGAGAGAGCAAGACACCAAGTCCAGGACTCAAACCATGGTTGGCCTTGTGTCTTAACCACCACACCACCTGTTGGTCCCCCAAACATTTTTTTAAAACACTTATTTATCATGATTTTCAGGCTGCCAAATCCAGGACTTGAATCACAATGTAGGAATCCAGCACCCCAACCACTACGCCATATTCCACCTACTGGCTGTCAAAAAAAGAAAAAAAAAATACATACACACACGCATGTAATGCATATACATATATATTTTAGGTCTATGATTGCTTTAGAATTAATTTGTATGAAAGGTGTTAAGGTTTATATCTTGATTAATTTTTTGCATTTGGATATCCAGCTTTTTCAGCACCATTTATATATAGTCTTTTCTCCATTATATTGCCTTTGCTCCTTTGTCAAAGATCTGTTGACTGGGATCAGCAGATGGTGTAATGGTTATGTTGCTGGCCTCCCTTTGGTCCCCAAACCCAATGGGTTAAAGCTCACGCTGGCATATGTGCATGAGTGCCCAAGAACTCAAGAGGAGAATGGAGGAGAAGGGATTGCAGTATGGCCATCCCCCCTGGGGGGTGATTTCTCACTTTCTGTCTGTCTCTGACAAGTGCATGTACCCTACATAAAAATCTCTAAGGAAAAAAATAGACTTGTTGACTAAGATAAAAATAAATTCTTTCTAATTTTTTTATTTTTAGCTGTGCTTCTTATATAGAATAGCATTGGGGTTTTTTTTTTTCTTTTTTGAGAGGTTTTCGCTATAGGGCGTGTGCGCTCACCAGACAGACAGAGAGAGACATAGAGACAGAAAGCGAGAAATCACCCCCCAGGGGGGATGGTCACACCGCAATCCCTTCTCCTCCATTCTCCTCTCGGGATCTTGGGCACGCATGCACACACGCCCGGCGTGAGTTTTAAGCCACCAGGTCTGGGACGTGAACCGCGGCCGACTACGTGGGAGTCCAGCGACATAGCCATTATGCTAACTGCTGGTTCCCTGCATTGGGTTTTCATCTTGTAGTCAATCTGAAATTTACATTTATTGATATAACTCATGAGTGGTATAATTCTTTTATCATTTTATGATTATTTAAATAGAAATTATTTTGTTATATAATCTTTTTCTTTTCTTTCATTTGGTTTAGGTATTTAGAAAAATCTTATTTTTGTATAATATTTATGCTTATACTAATACCTCTACAATACTAATACTTCTACATAGCATCCTTCTAGGCAACTTTTTTAGAGACTGATTCATTATTTTGAGAAAAATGAAAGTTATGATAGCAATCTCTGCCTTCCCTTACCATCTTTTACTATGAGTTAATAACCAGATACAATTAACATGTTAATTAGCTAGGCATGGCTACCTTTGGTAGATGGATCCTCTTAACTACCTTTTTTTTTTTTAATTCTTTTTTTGGGGGAGGAGGGGAGGTTTTTGCTACAGGGTGCGTGTGCTCACCAGAAAGACAGAGACAGACAGAAAGTGAAAAATCACTCCCCAGGGTAGATGGCCACACTGTAATCCCTTCTCCTCCCATCTCCTCTCGGGATCTTGGGCACGCACGCACATGCGCCCAGTGAGAGTTTAAACCACCAGGTCCGGAACTCGAACCACTGTTGACTATATGGGAGTTTAGCGACATAGCCATTATGCCAACTGCTGGTCCCACTAACTACCAGTTTTTAAAAAGAATTATTTTATTTTATTTTTTTGAAGTTGACCAGAGAGAGATAATGAGAGAGAAGGAAAGTGAGAACGCAAGCTGCCAGGTCCGGGACACAAACCATGGTCAGTCATGTGGGAGTCCAGCTGCCTTAACCACCACGCCACCTGCTGGTCCCCCCTTAACCACCATTTTAACAGTTTTATTTGAGATCAGAAATGAATGCCTTTCAGCCTTTGACTCAAGGACTTACCAAAAAAAAAAAAGTTACAGTTGACCTATAGTGTTAAATAACTATTACCTACAAGTCGTCCACTGTTCTTTAACCTTAGTTCCAGTTACATGCACTCAGTGCTCACCTCCAGTTCTTATACTTAATATCTCCTTAGTTGTCTAAAGTCCATTTTCTTATATATCTAGTAGGAAGGACTCTGAGAATAGTACTGAGTTATTAAAGGCTCAGAAGAGTTTATGATCTTTATAATTGAAGGTCAGTGTAGCTACATCAATCTTTTATATTTTCTTTCTTTAACTACTTTAAATATGTTATCCACGTGTTCTCCTTTATGAAGAGTTATTTTTGAAAACTGGTGATTTTTGTTTCCTTTTAAGTGCTTGGTCTTACTGCCTGGATCCCCAAACTTTTTCTTTTCTTTCTTTTTTTTTTCCTAGAGGGTGTTGCACTTGCCAGAGGGAGACAATAGAGGGATAGGCAAAATAAGAAAGCACTGCATGGGGGATGGCCAGGCCACAATCCCTCCTCCTCTTCTCCTTTTGGATTTTTGACATGCATGCACACATGCATGCCTGGTGTGTTTCTCAAGCTGCTGGGTCAAGACTCAAATTACGCAGTGAACCATGTGGGATCAGGTGGCCAACCATCGTGCCACTGTTTTCTTTTCATTTTCTAACTTAGTAATTTTACTAGTATATACCCATTAACCCACCATACAGGGTCAATTCTCCCAAATGCAAAGTTTAAATCTTCTTTCAGGGGGAAGTTTTATTAAATTATAGGTTTGGGGATTTGCTTTATTCTATTTGCTTTCTCTTAGCATGGTTCTGAAAACATGCTCTATGATTTCCCATTGGTTTGTGCCAGTCAGTCAGTGGAAATACTACTTTCAAGTCAGCAGGTGGCGTGGTGATTCAAGTGGCCGGATCCAATATTGCTAACTGGAGGTATGAGTCCTGGGCCTGGCAGCTTGAAAAATACTACCAGTGCATGTGCATGAGTGCCCAAAATCCTGAAAGAAAGGAGAAATGGGGAAGTGACTATGGTGTGACCATTCTTTTTTTTTTTTTTTTTGTAGAGGTTTTTATTGCTATAGGGTGCGTGCACTCGCCAGACAGAGAGAGACAGAGAGATAGAAAGCGAGAAATCACCCCCCAGGGGGGATGGCCACGCTGCAATCCCTTCTCCTCCATTCTCTTCTCGGGATCTTGGGCATGCACGCACACACGCCCGGCGTGAGTTAAGCCACCGGGTCCAGGACTCAAACCGCGGTCGACGATGTGGGAGTCCAGCAACGTAGCCATTACGCTAACTGCTGGTCCCAACTGTGACCTTTCTTAATGGGAGGCACTTTATTTTCCCTCTTTCTCTCTCTTTTTGGCAAGTACCTGCACTTTCTGGCAAATTAAAAAAAAAAACCCTCCAAAAAAACAATTAAGATATGGAGCAACAACCAAATGCTAAGCTCTATGCCTGTCATTGGTGCTACAGCCCCAGCACTGAGTATAGGCCTAGCAAAGAGGTAATCAATAAATTTCCCTCATGTTATATGTAATTATTATATATTATTACATAATATTAACTCATACTGTTTTGTATTATGAGTATCTAAATCTTCACTCCCCTATTAGAAGAGCACAGACAATTCTTCATTATGAATCTCACAATTTTTTTTTCTAGAGATATTTTGTAGTAGCCAGAGAGACAAAGAAATCACCTTCTGGGGGGAATGGCCACACCACAGTTCCTTCTCAATTCTTCTTTTGGAATTCTGGGCATGCCCGGTGTGAATTTTAAGCCACTGGGTACAGGACTCAAACTACAGTTGACTACATGGGAGTTCAGTGACATAATAACCATTACGCCATCTATTGGTCCCAATCTCACAATATTTTTATTTGCATACATCAGTAGTTCTTTATTATTGTTGTGTACTATTCCATTTTAACAAATATACCAACATTTGTTTTTTCTAATAATGGATTAGAAAATACATACGGATTGTTTGTAATTTAGGGGCTATTCTAAATAAAGCTATTAGTTTTTTCTTTTTTTTTTTCCCTATAAGCATTTTTATACAAGACTCTGTAGGTTCATGCATTCACTTCTCTTGGGTAAGAAATGTATGAGTAGAACTGCTGGGTCATAGTGTAGGTAAATGCTCCTATGTTTAATAGTTAGAGACTGACAGCGTTCTAGAGTATCTATGCCATTTTAAACTCTCACCAGCAGCGTATGAGTGTTTCACGTGCTTCACATTCTCATCACCATTTTGTACTGTCAGTCTTTTAAAAATGTTAGCATGGGCCAGCGGGTGATGTGGATCCCACATGGATGACTGCATGGTTGGATTCTCCCAAATACGTGGGCATCTGTGTGTACGTGCCCAAAATTCCATGGAGAAGGGACTGCGGCATGGCCACCCCCACCATGGGAGTGAATTCTCATTTTTTTCTCTGTCCAGCCCACACGCCTGTAGCAAAAAGATAAATTTTGTTTTAGTCATTATTCGGTGTATAGTACTTCCTGATTAAAAAAAAACAAAACAAAACTGATTTTTAATGCTAGAAGGTGCATGTGCACATGAAAGAAAGAGAAAGCATTCCATCCCCCTTCAAAGGGCCAGGTTATGCCATAAGCCCTCTTCTTCCAATTCTTCATCCCATCAGGACTCTGAGTGCACATATGTGCACCTGGCTATATCTCAAGCCACTGGGTAGAGAATTGAACCTTAGTGACCCATGTGGGAGCTGGCTTCCTCTGTACTAGACTACTAAAAGTAAGAAAAAGGTTTTTGCCCATTTAAAAACTGAGTTATATATGTATGTTTTATATAAATGATTATATATTATGGATACGAGGCCTTTGTCAGATGTTTGCTCCACCCTTTCAGAATCTTTCATTAGTGCTCAGTAACTACCGAATGAATTTGAGAATCACGCGTTAATTCAATGTAACCAAATATACACTTTCAGGGTTGAAAAAGATCATATAAATCAACTACAAAAGTAGAGTCTTTATATACCCTTTTTTAAAAGTTAATTTTTTTCCATAAGATAGCCAAAAGGGTTCCTGAAACCATAACCCACCCCCAGCTTTAGCCAGTCCCAATCATGTGCACACGTATGCCCGTCGGTGCTCAGGGAGGTCTGTGGATTAGAATCAGGAGCCCTCCCACGTGATCCAAGTGTTTTAACACTGTGCCATATTCTGGCCCCAATATACCAATTTACCTCGCCTATTAAAGCTAAAAATCACAGCTGGAAAAAAGAAATACAAAAACTGTCAGGAGCTAGTGCTGATGTGTGGATTAACAATAAAGTTGCTCTAGCTGTGCCATCTTCTGGCCCCAAAATACCAATTTACCTCGCCTATTAAAAGCTAGAAATCACAGTTGGAAAAAAGAAATACAAAAACTGTCAGGAGCTAGTGCTGATGTGTGGATTAACAATAAAGTTGCTCTAGCTATTGATCCAAATTCAAGCGAAAAAGCTTTGGAAACCAGCACTAAAACATATCCTAGAGGAAAAACGATTAGCTAACATAATGCTTTTCTATTCCTCCATCCGACCAGTAGCTAGAGGGATGGAGAGCTAGCGGAGAAGCTGCCTCTGGTGACAGGCAGCCCATGGGGCCAGTACTCCGGCCATTCCCAAGACCTTGAAGGGACACTGGGTCTGATCCTGCGTTCGCGTCCTTCCACGCCCTGCTACCTCCTTCCTTCGGATAGGCTGAGCCGGGACATCTCAGACAATACAGCACTGCGATTGGCCAGGCTAACGCCAAGGCAGCCTTCACGCAGACTCCTAATGCTAACGGGGTCCTGGCAGAGGAGGTCCAGGGACCTAGGGCTGTATGTAGCTCTAGGCCGAGCTGCCGCAGTCCCTCCGCCGGACACAAGCCCACAGCTCCCGCCCCGGTTCACTGCCCAAACCAAGGGTTCAAGGTCCATTCTCACACAGCTCCGGGCGCCGCCGCCGCTGGCCCTTCTCCGGGCCGCAGTCACCGCAGCCTCCGCCACTGCCTCTCCTCCCCTGCGCCGTTGCTATAGTTAGTACCCAGCCCTACAGCCCAAGGTGCGGAAAGGTGACAGAATCGCTTTACCTGCACGACCCTGCTGGCAGACGCCATCTTGCTGCCCATCATGACCCCAGAGAAGGGGCAGCTTCCGGGGCGCAAGCCAGACGCAGCTGTAACTCAAGGAGTGGGCGTTGGGGGCGGGACTTGCCCCTGACGTAGGGGGAGGAACGAGCCATGCGGGGCTGGCTCCGCCTCCGCCGGGGCTGGCCCTCCCTCCCTCTCTCCGTCCCCGCCCCACCGCTGCCCCACGTGTTTACTATTGATTTCGCTTTGCAGAGGGGTTTGTGTTGTTGATTTATTGCGCTCATCAGCCTGTGAGTTTTCTAGAACCCTCCCCAGATGATCGGTTTTTAAGTTTGATATAGTTTAAAATTCAACCTGGGAAGGACAGGCAGGGAGTGCGATGGTTAAGGGCGCTGGACTCCAAGACTGACGGCGGTTGGAGTCCCGAACCTGGCGGGATGCTTTCTCTCTCTGACGCTCTCTGGTCAAAACTAAAACAAAGTTAACTAGAATAATTAATACAAGCTGTTGTGGCTTCCTAAAATGAACACTTTTGTTAAAACTTGGGAATTAGCGACAAGTTCAGGAAAAAAGTGTCAGTTCTGACCATACCATCTGTCCTTTGGGTTAGCATGTTTTGATTTCAAGTCTTTTTTTTTTTTTCTTCTCTAGCTTAATTATACCTGTTGTTGAACTGCTGCCTCTACTTTAAGTTTACGAACCCAAAAGCTCAATGTTTAATTTTTGAAACGAAGTCAGCATTTTCACCCTTCCCCTGTTATATTTGTTGAAAGAAAAATAAAGAAATTTAATAGTTTTAATTGAACAAATGTTTACATGATTTACTGTACAACTGCGGCTAGAATTGTTGTCACCTCAGTATTTAAGTTCTGGAAAAGGAAAGTAACATGTATGGGTATGTGATATACAAAAATGAGAGTGAAGGAAGGGAAACAGTTTGGGTTGGTTACAGTCTCAAGTTTGTCTGTATTAACACAATTTAAAAGGTAGGATGCCTGTGATTAAAGCCTAGCTGCTGTGATTGGTTGTAATCTTTTAACCAACTCAGAAATATAGCTAACATGTCCAATTTCTGCTTATCCATAGGAATCCAAGTATGGGAGTACCGTGGCTGTTTTAGGCCAAAATAGTACCAATAGTAAATATTAATTACCTTATAGCTTTCCATACACTGTATGTTGTGGTCATTTATATAACTTTGTAGGTAATGTAGTGTCAGACAAAAAAGGACAACTGCAAAGTAAAAATTAGAAAGAAAAGGGAATTTTTTTTGTCTCACAAAACTAACAGAAAATAAGGGTTGGACCCTGAGGTATCTTGCCAGATTCCTCTGGCAGCAGGGCTGGGAAGAAGTGACAAATGTGTCTGCTAACCCTGAAAAGTCTAGTCATTTATAGTCATAAAAGGGTTCTGACATATGTAAGTTGTTCTGGAAGTGTTATATTGCACAAGATAATGGGAGGGTCTTATAGAGAAGGAGGAAGGGACAGGATTAGGTCAATTAACAGAAGCTGTCTAAAGGAATCTATTGGCAGCTGGGTATATAGTCAGCACAAGGGAGATTGTAAACCAGATATAGTCCTGAAAATATCTCAACAGCCACAAAATCAAGAGAGTAACCATAAGTTGGAAGCAGACTGGTCAATTACCCTTCAATTCTCTTAGTTCTCTGGCTCTTATTTTTAATTTTTGAGAAATTTTTCCTATAGACATTTGCCAGAGACACAGAGACAGAGACAGAAAGCAAGAAATCACCCCTGGGGGGATGGGCAGGCTGTAATCCCTTCTCCATTCTCCTGTCGGGATCTTGGGCATGCATGCACATGTGCTCAGTGTGTTTTATGGGGCCAGGTCCAGGACTCAAACTGTGGTCCACTAAGTGAGTCCAGCGATGTAACCATTATGCTAGCTGCTGGTCCCTTTCTTTCTTTCTATCCTTTTTTTACATTTTGTTTTTATTCAACAGTTTACTCACAGGCAGAAAAATATGGAATGCTTCACGAATTTGCGTGTCATCCTTGCAAAGGGGCCATGCAAATCTTCTCTGTATCGTTCCAATTTTAGTATATGTACTGCCGAAGCGAGCATTCTTTCTTTTTTTTTTTAATAGCAGTCTACTTTGTCAATAAACTTTATCTTCACAATACTGTCTATAGAAAGAGAAACTTTGTAAAAATATTTGTACTTTTTGCTTGTGCTCACCAGGGAGAAACAGAGAAACAAGAGAGACAGCGAGAAATCACCCCACAGGGGGGATGTTCATGCCATAGTCCCTTCTCTTCCATTCTCCTCTTGGGATTTTGGTCACACACGCATGCCCGCACACATGCCCCGCGTGTTTTTTAAGCCACCACATTGGGACTCAAATCGCGGTCAACTATGTGGGAATCCAGCCATGTAATCATTACGCCATATGCTGGTCTCTATTATAATTTATTTTAATTTGACCAGATAGAGGGCCAAAGAGAGAGAGAAGGAAAGTGAAACTTAAACTGTGGTCAGCCACGTGGAAGTCCAGCACCTCAACCACTATTCTTTTAAAGAATTATTTAATTTTACGTATTATTATTATTTTGATTTGCTATAGGACATATGGCTCACCAGGGAGAGAGAGAGAGACAGGGAAAGTGAGAAAGCAAGCCACCAGGTCTGGGACCCAAACCCTGGTCAGCCATGTGGGAGTCCAGTGTCTGAACTACCACGCCACCTGCTGGCCCCTGTAAAAATATCTTAAAAGGTTTATTCATAGCAAAATCATGAATGATCATTGCTCAGAAACAATCTCTGGTATCCCTGAGGTGGTATTCTGGAGCTTAGATACAGATTTTTTTAAATTTAGTTCTGAGAGCAGGAGATACAATCAAAACAGTAAGTCAAGACATGCTGTTTTCATATTGGCCTGGTCCAAACAGGTGGAACATCTAGAAGCAGGAGCTTACAAGTTATGAGTGGATTTAGAAATTCTTAGGTTACTAATTGGTTAAAAGTACAGGTCTTTGTTTCATAAAGACTCAGATTCAGTAGAAAAGAATGTCTAAATTTAACAGGTAAGACGATTTGGCTATATGTTCGCATGCTGTGCCAGAGTCACGGTGTAGGGAGTACATCCTGGTCACAATCCTGGGACCAAAGTGGTTGACCTTAGCAAGATTAAATGCTTATTAACTGACATTATTCTTCTTAGACCTTTTAGGAATGATTTAGAACAAAGGGAGGTGGAGAAGAAGGTTCCACATGACTCCAGCGAAGTAGGTATTGCAGGGAATGAAGATTTTCTACTGATAATTCAGCCTCCAGCAAACGAGCTAGTGGCAGAAGAGGCCAGGCCTTCAGAAGAAGGTTCCACATGGCTCCAGCGAAATGGATCTAAGAGCACTGTAGCTAAACATCCAAATACTAATAGGGTTAAAATATTCCTCAATATCTACTGAATCTGCTGCACCAGCGATCACAATAGAACGGCAATGAGATTCTAGATCACCTCTGTCTGCTTGCTCCTGTACATTCAGGCTGAACTTCAAGAATTTGAAAGAAACACACCATCCATCAGAAGACAAGAAATCACCGCTGGATAACAAAAAATATGGGAAAACAAGAAAATACCTCTTCTCCAAGGGAAAAGAGTAACTCTTCTTCATCCATAAGCAGTTTGGTGAAAATCATGGAAATGTCTGATAAGGAATTTAGAGCATTCATAATGTCGAAGCTAACAGAGATGGAAGAGAAGAGAGATAATGAACTGCTAAAGAGAAAGGAGAAAGAAGTTGATGAGTTCCAAGAGATGAGAAAATTCTTGCAAGATCTAAAAGAGGAATTACACACTTTACAATAGACTCAAACGGAACTGTTAGAGATGAAGACTATAATACAGGAGGTCAAAATCTCCCTTGAAAGTATTAAAAGCAGACTAAATCATTCAGAAAATAGAATCTCAG